TGTGTGTGTGTGTGTGTGTGTGTGTGTGTGTGTGTGTGTGTGTGTGTGTTTGTGTGTACAGACTCTGGCTATAAACCGGGGAGAGAATCTGAAGATTTTGACAGTGAAGGTGAACATTCCCGACAGGTTGAAGAGTGACTTCACTTGGTGGTGCATCAACAACAGGTCAGAAACGCGACACACTTCTACGTTGAGAAATAACCGAGTTGAGCAGAAACTCAAAACCTTAAAAAATGTTCTCAACAAATTACAGTAGAAACAAGGATTAAACTTGGTAGAACTCTCACATTATTTCGTTCTGCTGCATCATTTAGTTTTATCCACATATCCATTTAGGTTAGAGAAAATGTCATTGACATACTATAAACTTGGCATTTGTTATGTGGAATACACAAACAAATAAAGTGAAGTTGACATATGTCCTCAGTCAATTCATCTTGTATAAATAAAGGTTAAAGAATTAACATTAAATTAAATGTTTAATCATGAGGCTGTCGTGTTTGTTTTAAAGAAATGGTCTGTTAATATTACACCATATGTGCAACACTCTGGTTGCTTGAAAATACAATAACATTTATTTATATTATAACATTAAACATTTTATTTTTGTTGTGTGTGAGACGGGATGGGTGACATATTTTCTCCTGAGAGGGAGGGAGTTAGTTTGCAGAAGTCACATTTAATTCTATACATTTTATTTATCAGTGGAAATGGCCCACAGAGAAAAAAATCAACAACCTTTGTCCCGCTGTTTTAATGCAGGTGGAGGCCGAAGACATTGGCAAAAGAAGAGCTTCGTGCAATCATCAAGAATGCTGTAGAGGACTCGTATAAAAGGCTTATTCTGCCTTTCCTCACAAGGAGTTACAGGTATTTTGAGTGTGTGTGTGTGTGCTCTGTGTTTTCTTTTCTTTGATAACCACTTATTCATTTACGCTGTGTCCCTATTCCCTCTTCTTCCCCATACCTCACCTCTTACTTTCCTCCTCCGTTTTCACATTTTTTCTTCCCCCCCATCTCTGTCTCTCTCTTGCATCCCGTCTCTTTAGGACTAAGCTGACAAGTGCAGCAGAGAAGGAGTCGATCGCCATGTTTGTGCGAAACCTCCGGCAGCGGCTGTTGGTCTGTCCAGTGAGGGGCTGTGTCATCATGGGGGTGGACCCTGGCTTTAGACATGGCTGTAAGCTGGCAGTTCTCTCCCCCACTAGTAAGTGACCACATAGTGTACTAAACTCATGTATGCACCACCTACCTCTGCATCTAAAACAGTTTGGGCTCTTATCCTCATAAGACCATACCCATAGGCTTCAGATATGCAAATGAGGCTCTACTTCTTTTCCCTCATTAGTATTCCCTTCTATTCATAATGTTATTGGTTGCTGATACATTCAAGAAGCATAAACACAAATTGCTACATGTTTAGGAACAGCCCCATTGTATTTCACCATCAGTATTTTTCTGTAACTGTAGATTAGATCATGAATCTACTCTTTTACACTGTGCTAACTAAAGTGCCATCCCAGATTCATGGCTGATGGCCTACATTTTGGTGTTTGTGTGCATGTCAGAGACTAGATGCCAGTTGGCATGACCCTGGTGAGATGATTATCTGTTAGCGTGCACATGTGCATGTGTGTTTTTGTATGTCTGCTGTGCTCTGCTGTATGTCGCAGCGTGTGTCTCAGTGGGTGTGGCTTCACACTGCGCCAGGGTAGGTCCCACCCTCTGGGTGACTGACTGTGTAACGCTGACACACTTAACGCAGACAGACGCAGGTATGTTTTGGGTGTCAGGCCCAGCAGGGTGTGCTCACAGGTTTGATGTTTTCCCAGCTCATGTGACTTCCGGTCAGAGCTGCATTCCTCCATCTGAGGAAGCAGCTAACTGTCAGCTGCTGGACTTCCTGCAGATGTTGAGTTCATAAATCATTTTATTTATTTAGGGCATACAGTGCAGAGACATTAGCTGGTTATACAGCGTAGTCTCTTGGTCCCCCGCTTGTCAACATAATACTTTATCAGCAACATTGTGTTTCCTCCCTCTTGTCTTCGTCTCCCTGCTCTCAGGTCAGATTATTCATACTGACGTGGTGTACCTGCATAATACAGGTCAACAAAGAGAAGCAGAGAAACTGCGCCACCTCATGACCAAATACAGGTACTGCTGCTAAGTGTCTAAAAAGTCTCTGTTTAAAGTGTACCGTTTAATAGTTTAATTAGTTAAATAGTGTCAGAAAATGTCTCATTAATGGATGTTTGTATTGTATTAATCAATGTTTTTATTGCTGTAACTTTCCTGTCGGCATGTATTCTGTGTTTTCTGTTTTATCAATGAACATAATATTTAAAACTCATTTCTATGGTTGCATTTATAATCGTCTTTGTCCTTCTGCTCTCTCTCTTGTCCACACTAGCTGTGCCAAGGTTGTGATTGGTAACGGGACCGCGTGTCGTGAGACAGAGTCCATCTTCGCAGACCTCATCTCCAGGCGCTGTTTTCACCCTCTGGACGTGTCCTACTGGTAAGACGTTTCATCCAGTGCATGCTAGAACAGGCCCCAGTGACCCTGAAAAGAACCAACTGGTTGTAGTACATTCATGGCATGAACCCTACTGTCCAGAGGGCTAAATTCCTGGAATGATGACGATGAATGAATGAATGAAAGCTAGGTGTGTGGAGGGGAAAGGTCGGTTGAATAAAGGGAGTTAGCAATGTGAAAGAATCAAGTACGGAGGAGGAGAATGTGTGGGAGCGAGAGAGCTGCACGCAGATGGAGAGAGAGAGACAAATTGGAATGTGTCCCTCAAGCGAATATCGTCTATTAAAGCCATCTGGACTTGGTTTTACTTCGGTCCATTTAAAGAGACGTTTTTGAGGTCCACATTGTGTCTGTAACCAGGCCCAGTCCGCACTTCACAATACGACGGCACAGAACCTCGGTCCAAGCATAATAACCACTGGCCTCTCCTCGCTGCGTTCCATATGTGTTTGTTGACTTGAGGTTAGCATTGGGAGCACAGCCTAGAATGATTCTGAGCTGTGCGTGGAAGTGTGTCTGCATATGAGCGTTTTGACAGTATCTTTGAGTTCTCTCTCACACACACACACACACACACACACTTCAGAGGTCATACCTTTGGTGTAATAGCCCACATTTTTTTTCACTTCAGACATTTTTTGTCAATTTGCAAGAACAGAAACAGTCAAAGTGGGGCGTTGATTAAGTTAACTTCCCCTTGATTATTTTCATGATTTAACATCTTGATATAATGTCTCTCTTATTCATTCATTCACTGGAGCTAATGGCACTTGTGCTTTTCACAGCGCGTGAGAATGTTGTGCTTGTGTTTGATGTGGTGCTGGCTGAATGTCCCATATCACCTGATATGATTAACTGTATTTTTGCAGCACGTAACACATGTGTAAATGGTCTGCCTTTGCCTTGGTAGGGTTCTGTAGAATAAAGGCTTTTGCAAGTGCATGAACTCTGGAAGAGCAGAGAGATGTTATTTTGACGTTAGCCATAAGTATGGTTGTTGTTATCCAGATGATATCGCCCTGGAGTCATCTGGTCTAAAGCCTCACTTTGGTTTCTTTGGACCGCGGCTGACATAGATGTTAAATCTTAAATGTGTCTATTAAAATGTAGACACTAGTCTCTGCCCTCCTTGTCTCCTTTCTATCTTCACTCCCCCTCTCTGCTCTCTCCATCCTTCCTCGCCACTGTCTTCGTTTCCATCATCTGGTAGATTAACCTCAGATTTCTCACCACAAATTAAATTTCAGCTCCATTGCAAGGCCATAGATCTCATCAAAAATGTGTATACAGTCACATGTTATTAATATCCTTTATAAAAGGGTCTTCAGTGGGATCTTGGATCTCTCAACAAGGCATTAAAGTTGCTAAAATACAAATATAACTACTGTCCTCTCATCAGAACGTGGTGAAAAGCAGATATTATTTTGACATGTAGGTGTTAACATTTTAAGCGTTTGATCAGTCATTGATTAAATGTTTAAAGATATTAAAATATGAAATGCCTGTTTTTCTTCAAAGCACGTTTTAAACGAGTGAAATGGCCTTTCAGGACAAATGTATACGTAAATGATCAATAATTGAATAAACAAAATGATATTATTATGTGGTATACTAGACAAACAGAATGTCTGTGGTCTGTAATGTCCTTTATTTAAAACTATCTGGGTCAATGTTACTATCTAATGTTCTTATTTCCACACACGCCTCCCTTGATAGATGATGATGGGAGGGCAGTGACTCTGAGGGTCTTACTCCCCTGCTGACTGACCCACAGCTGACCCTGACCTGCCATAAACCTCATTACGACGGCAGCACAGATGCTGGCAACGACGGAGACTAGCCACGTAGCATCAGAAGCAGCGAGGGGTCTTAGTGCTCGCTGTGAATGTCCCCAGTACAATTAATTGACCCAGTTTCTGATACACGTCGCGGTTCTTTGTGCTGCTGTATGTTCGAGCGCTTGTCGACTGACTTTATACCCAAGGAGGTTCAAACAGGTGTTGAAAGACTGGTGTAGGTTCAATGTATTTACAAAGTCACCGTTTGGTCTATCCACTTTACCGTCCATTGTCTTTGGCTTCCCTTGTTTTCTCTCTCTCTGTCTGTCTGTCTGTCTGTCTGTGTCTCTCTCTGTGTCTCTCTTTCTCTCTGTGTCTGTCTGTCTCTCTCTCTGTCTTTCTCTCTCTGTGTCGTCCTCAGATACTGAAAGCAGCTGTGCTCTTGACATTTTTTTATTCTGGCTCAAAAAACAACTCACCTCAGGAATGTGTATGTGAAAATATAGAGTGATTATATTTTGTCTTCATTGTGTTATTTGGCCACAGCGTTTTTAACGTCACTACCTTGTTGGGTGGAATCGGCCTTTAAAATAAGACATTGTCAGTGTTGACTTTTGGCAGAAGTTCTGTTAGAGCTCCTCTCCTCTCCTCCTCGACAGTGCAGTAGTTCATTAAGGACCCCAGCCTCATTTGCACCATCTGCTTCATGTCTCCCAGTGAGCCTTCATTGTGTCACCACCCCCAACCTCCTCCACCCTTTCTTCCCCACCCGCCTGTCTCTCTCTGTCCTTCTGCCTCAGTGCTCAGCTGGAATGACAGCCAGAAATGGCCGCCTGCGGGACATCCTTACTTGTGTGTTTGTGTGTATGCAGTTTTCAGTGGCTTAGTCCTGTTCGAGTAGACTCGTTGACTCACTGAGTCACCTCTTCCATGTTTGTTTTATGAGCAGTGTGGCCTTTGCTGAAGACAGCTGAACGAGGGCACAGGTTGGTGTGTCTAAGTTGTGTCATTTAGGTGGAGAAATAGGTTTGAATGTGTATGAAAGGCCGGCCTGTGTGTGTCCAATTATCTAAATCTCTGTCCATGCCATAAATACATCAGACATCGCAGATCATGATCAAATTACTTTTTGATAACAGGACAGAGACATCGTCAGATATTAAGTATTCTTTCCATAGTTTTGTCACAAACAATTCATTTTTTTTTTTTTTTTTTTTTTTTTTTGACAAATACTTCACTCTACAAAATGTCAGAAAATAGTGAAATGTGCCAATAACAGCTTCTCCTACCGACAACTGTTCAACTTAGAAAAGCAACTTTTACGAGGACATACCCTGCTTTGCAAAGTTATTCAACCCCCTTGGTGTTTTTCCTATTTTGTTGCATTGCAACTGGTTTGTTGCCGTGTTTTGCTTGGTGACGTTTCTGGTGTGTAAGAGGAGCTGATTAGTACACACACACATATCACTGTGAGTCCTGATCTATCAACACTCATGTTGTAACTCCTGTGCTTTTGAGAAGCTCTAACATATTGTCATTGGCTCCTATTTCTTCGCTGGCATCTTAACAAATCAGCCCACAGACAGCATCAGACAGAGATGGGTTGGGTTCACATTAATCCCCTTTCAAAGTTATGCAAACTGTATTCAAACAGACTTTCTCAACTACTTCACTAAGCAAACCAATGTGTCACAGGCAAAACTTTAACATTGATGTTTGTGTGTTAGTGGTTGAAGGTTGAGTTGTCAAATTGAATTCAGAGAGTTTCACTATCGTCATGTTTTATTTGTCTTAGGCATGTGGTGGCTACTTTAAGCTTGTTCAACTAAACTTAACCTTTATTTGCTTTCACAACTTGTGATTGAACTATAATACATTTGAATGTTAATTAATTAATGTGAGTGTTTGGGGCTGTATGCATGAAGAATGAGAAGTTGACAGTGTTTGGCTGCAGCAAGCGGATGTTAATGATATCAGAGGGCAAGAATATGTGGGCTAAGGTTAGGGGGATCTTTGGGCAATGGTGATGATAGACACACACACAAACACACACACGAACCACAGCTAAAGGCAAACACAAACCACATCTCATTTCTTGACCACTTGCTCCGTCAGTCCTGAAGGCAGAGAGATGACCGACCCGGTTACTCTTTTTCATGAACATCCTTGAGGGTCGGCATCTTTGTTTGCAGTGAATTAATTACTTAATTAATTACAATGTAACTTGTAATATGAAATCAATCACATTTTAAATTGACTTTGTTACTTTGGTACAGTACTGTTTATTTAGACTTGTTTCGCTCTGACTTTGCCTGGTGTTGTACTCTGTAGCTGATGAGAGTACATCTCTCTTTCTAGTAGTAGTCATTGTTCTCTCCTTGACTGGTTCATACTTGGAGTTGTCCAGGAGCAACTCGAGCAGTCGCAGCAGGAAACATTATCAAATAGCCAGCAGTGTACGCCCGCACTGACACACTAACATGCCTGACGATCCCGAGGGCAAGACCTTGACCGTCTTGCCCTCCGGCTCCGTCCTATTGGGGTGAGATCATTATTACTGGCGAGCTGATGGACCTGTAGGACAGTGGTGTAGACTGTATTTATGACTCTGTGTGTGGGTGTGTGTGTATCCCCTGTCATGTCCTATGTGCAGGCATGCTCCCAGGGCCAGGCTGAGTGAGTGATGAACATACAGTGGCAGGACCAGCGACGACTGATCCAGGCTCTGAGGCCTAATCGAAAGTTTGACAGTAGGATAGAAGGGAGAGCAGGGGGGACGGGTGGGTTTGGAGGCATGGAAAGGCCTCAGCCTGGCTGTGGGGTGTGTCTTCATTTCAGAGGAGGAAAATTAATCCATGGGTACAGGATGAAAAGGTTACGTCTTTAACTTAACACAGGATGGATAGAGGAGCTTCTGCTTTGAGTTGTTGCTCCCAGAGAACTGAAATACTTTCTTCTGCCCATCTTTAGACTGTTTGTTTTCCGTTTGATGGGTAAAAGTGAAGAAGGAGAGGCACTGCTCTGGCTGTAACCTCTGTGTCCTCCCTCTATATTTTCCTTATTTACTTTTTTCTCTTCCTTTTTGTTCCTTTCGTACCCTCTTTACTTCATTCTTTCCTGCTTTCTATCTTTCCTTGCTTCCAAATCCTCTGAGAGCCGTTTGAATTAAACTGAAAAGTTAAGTCTCATCAATTATGTACAAAGCCCAATAGCACAAATCACAAAGTTTGCCTCTAGAAGCTTTACAATCTGTACAGCACATGACACCCTCTGACCCTCAATTCTTTTGTCTTGCGCACCTTTATTTTAAAGCAGATGGTACGACGGTTTCTTGAAAAGGTCTTATGCTTGTGTGTGTGTGTGTGTGTGTGTGTGTGTGTGTGTGTGTGTGTGTGTGTATTTCGTCATTGGTAGAAAAGAGGTGTCGGGCTGTGGACCTTTGGCATTCGCAGGTGGTGGACAGTGAATATCTGCCAGCCTCCTCCATATCACCCACAGCCCCCTCTCGTCTCCCACCATGCCTCACTGGTGGTCAGCCTCTGTCCCTTCTCCCTTCCACCCATCCTCCCTTAGGGTCCCAGTGTTCCCTGCGACAGTCCTGCGTGTGACAAACGTGTGATGAGTCTGTGTGACAAGCCGTGTGTGTATCCGCGATTTGGGGTGTGTGTGTGTGTTTGCATGCTGGGGTGCATGCATTTGTGCGTGACACAAGTGCAGGCCTTTGCTGCTACCAGATTGACGTGAGTGTCTGTGAGGCTTTGCTCTTTTCAGACGTGCCTCACACTGGCAGTTGGAGTTTATGTGTGTGTGCGTGTGCCTGCCTGCCTTCTAGCGCCATGCTGGAGACTGACGGCCTCTGACACCTGCCATTTGGACGCTTTTCTCTGTGAAAAATGTCATCGTCTTCAGATCCGACATGTGTGTGTGTGTCAGAGAGAGAGAGAGAGAGAGAGAGAGAGGGAGAGAGGGAGAGAGATGGTGCGTCCCTCAATTTGTCTCCCTGAGGTCAAGCTTTGCAGCTGACTGAACAATGGACCCAAGCTGTTTGAGCAGCCAGGACAGAGAAACTTGTGTGTGTGCGTCTTTTTTGCATGAATTTATTTTGAGCTGGTAACATGTGACATCACAGCTACTTCTACGCCAGTAAAATGAGTTCAATCCAAGCATCTTGAACACGGACTGAGTTGTGGACAAAGAAAGTGACCGATAGAGCCGGTGTAGTACGGCACTATATGGTGTGTGTGTGTGTGTGTGTGTGCAATCCCAAGTTCTCGCAAGTGTCCGATTTGAAAGCCATCTAGAATTTTGGACAATCTACCAGTTGAAACTGGTAGATTGCTATAAATCAATTCCAATTGAGCCCCACGATGCCTTTTGCATCTGATTGCATACTCGATTTGATAGATCAGGTAACTCCTAGTTAGTGACTTTGCATTGTGTTTGGCTCACTTACAGTTCTCACACTAAGAAGCCCACCTCACACCTCATTATTAAAACCATCTTAAAAACAAGAAACAGCACAACTGTGACTTGTTTTCTTCAGATATCAGAGGTATTATTGTCAGATACATGAGGGAAGGTTACATATTGTTCTGTAATGTAGATATATTTAAACAACGCATTACATAGCTTTTTTTAAAATCAGAATTTGCCTGCCAATCAGCAACTTTCATGCAAAACCATGAACTCAAGCTTTATTTGGGCAAAGATGATCTAAAGTGGAAAAGAAATTACCATTAACAGTTAAATGAACTCCCGACAAACAAATGGCACTGAAGTTTTTAACATCTACAGTACAAGTTTAAGGTTTTGGACCATTTGAAGAATCTTTTTGGGCCACATATATTCACATATTGTCTGTATCAATGTGCCTAGAATTCTTTGAAATACAGTAATTTATTCAAACCAAAATTCAATCTCTCATTCTGCTTTCCCCCCACCCACCAACTTTTTGTCCTGTGTATCAAATTAGTTGATGATATTATTGCCCCTCTTCTTTTCTGACTGATCTGATGAGCTGTAGCTGTTTTTAATTTACATTAGGGCTGTGTAAGCCAGAAGGCTGTAATGAGGTATCAAAGTGTGTATCCATCTCTTCCAATGTTGGGTTTCTTGAGGGGCAGCAGGGGGCCAGTCATGATGTGTGTGTGTGTGTGTGTGTCGTGCCCAAGGGTGTGTCTCAAAGACGACCAGTAGGGGAACGGATAGGGGAGCCAGTTGATGACTTTGCCCCGGGACGGGACGGGGCTAAAGGCAGGCCTGTGTTTATGTGTGTGTATACAATAGAGTAAAGCAAAAGAGAGTGTGAATAAATGAAAACCCTACAGGGCCAACAAGTCATCGCTTTACACCAAGAGGCGATCTTTGACTTTGTGTCTCAGCGTGTGTGTGTCCACGCTTCGACCATCCATCCACTTAGGCCAGAGAGCTGTTGACCAGACAACCTTCTGCTGGCTGCCAGGATGATGCCCTCACTGTGGCGACAGCCACGGACGCTGTGGCGATGAGGGCTCAGAGCTGTATCCATGATAGTGCTGTTACCCAGCTGCCCCAGCGGCAGCCTTAATTAAGTTAGACATGATAGGGGCTGGTGGCCTCCCTTTCTTTCCTCTCCACGCTCTCTTGTCTTCTGTTTTCTTTACCTCCATTGTCCTACCGTCTCTGAATGAGGACAGACAGACAGGGAGGGTGGTGGTGCTTTCTGTGTTTTATTTCCATCTATTGTCGTTATAATTTAAACCCTTGTCTATCTTTATACTACGTTTAAAGAGAAAGAGAGATTTGAGTGTATTGAATATTTTAGAATTTCATATCATCTTCTGTGTCTTCCTCAGCATGTGTCTTTGTGTCTTTGTCTCACGCACACACAGAGTGTGTGTGTGTCGGGTTAATGACCAGCTCCGCTTGGACCTCATTGAAGGTCATGTGCCAGTGCTCGTTAGCCGTGTCACCATGGCGATATGTCAGCTGTCAGCTACGATGGATAAGGAGCTGACAAAAAGAACAGTGAGGCGGAGGAAGGGATGAATGGAGAGGGAGGGAGGACAAGTTCATTTAAATGTGAGTCCCATCAGAAGGCCTCTGCCACTCCTCATTAACAAGATACTTATAATTGGCAAGGTTGTTGTGGCAAGGTCCAGGCCTCTGGGAGAGTGTCTGTGTGTGTCTGTCGTGGACATAGGGGAGGTGCTGACCCCTTCCTCATATTGGTCAGCCCTGAGGAGGAAAGCCCCCCCCCCCCCCCCTTTCTTCCTCAAATCATCCCCCCCTCTCTCCATCCAGCCGGCAGAACAGAAGGACTAAACAACGTGACAGCTTCAGTTGTATGTCGGTAGAATCAACACGGGTATCGGTGGCTTTGTTGTACCAACCATTCTGTCTGTGTGGTGATGTATGATAAGCGGCCTACTTTAGACTGAATACATTAACATGGGAGATGGTATCATTTGTTGCCATGTAAACCCAATGGTGCCCCGTAGAATCGGTTCATTTTCATTGTCAAGAACGTAGAAATGTCAATCGTGCAGAAATTGGCACAAGCGCTTCGGCTCAATTCCAGCTGAATTTAGTGAATCGTTTGAAAAAGGGTGTTTTTGTTAAGTCGTCTTAAAATCTTGTGCAGTATAAGCCCTTCACATAATATCTAAAGAATGAATTGTATGACGTGAAATGTACAAAAAAAGTAAGCAATTCAAAAAATTATATTTATTAGGACTGAATGATGTAACGGTGTCATTCTTGCAAACCCTAATCCATCATTTGACTTTATCAAATGAAGGCTTAAGTTAATTAAGGCTAACCCTGATTTCTTTTGTTGACAGAAACATTCCACTAAAATCTGTCCCTGTCTCTGAAAATATTTCTGGTAGAAGTAGGACATGCAGGGCCTCAATTACATTCCCATGTTCCTGCTAATGTCTACAGAAACGCATATATGTGTGGCCTGTTTTCTTTTTCTGGTTTTGTTCAAAAGACACTGACAAATAGCAGTACACCCCAATGTCCTCTAGATGGCAGTAGTGTCACATAGATTGTGAGTGAGCTGTGCTTTAACACCCATCTCATACTCTCTGTTATTACAGTGTCAGTCATTTCAATGTGCAAAGGTGGTCGTGCTCTCTACATATTCACATAGAAATAGCTTACTGGGAATCTATATTTACCCAAAGTTGGTTCCATACATTTAAGTGGGCATAATGACCCCACTCAACTCCCCGGACTCACTAATTGACCCATTCTCAATATGTTTAGAATTGATAGTTACTTTCAAAGCCAATGGCCGATACCTGCAATCGGGATGCATGTGGTTCTTCACTCCTGCTTTCAGTTGAATTCCTGCATTTGAAAGAATGTAATTGTGCAGTTATAATGTTAAGGCAGGACTACTGGTGATGATGCTATTTCGGGCATAATGCCCGTAATGGTGTTCAAGCTTTGACTACAAAGGGCTGACCAGAGTCAGACGAGGAGCCAGTTTGAGAAGTTGTCAGCTGCATTATGTAAGGTGCAAGGCAGTGGTGATTTTCTTTAAAAGCTTTGCCATTAGGTAATAACTCCTCACTGTTTTATTCTTTCTCCCCTCACCCCCTAATTGGCTCCATAGGGGGTGAGGGGAGGGGAGACACATTAGCTAACCTGCCTCTTATTCCATATATATATATATAATTTTCTTCCCTATCTTTCACCAGTATAACCAGTGAGGCAGGGGCATCCATCTACAGTGTGAGTCCTGAGGCGGTCAAGGAGATGCCAGACATGGACCCCAACCATAGGAGTGCAGGTAAGCAGCCATACTTGAGTATCTTCATGTTATTAAACGTTTTGCATTGTAAATGTGTGATATTCTTGACCGTTCTTTTAATTGGCCCTGGTCTACGGCAAAATGACTGGTGTTGTGGAAGACACTGTGAACAGGGCGGCAACTAACAATTATTTTAATCACTGATGAAGCTGTCACTTATATTCGTCATTACTTGTGTCAATAATATGTCAGAAAATAGTAAAAAAAAATTCCCCAATTCTCTCCTGTTTTACTTTGCGTCTCTCGCTCTTTCTGTCTCTTGCCACCTCTCCCTCGCTCACTGCACACGCTGCATCATCGAAAACACAGCAGAATAAAAATGAATTGCAGAGTTTTGGAGAACCAATGTTTCCAGCAGACTTCCTCTATAAAAGCCATAAATCAGGCGAGGCCGGCTTGTTCCTCACTAGTTTCATGTGGCCAGTAGCACCGAGAGCCGTGGAGATTCATATTTATCCCCCTAATGAAAGCCATGAGAAATCTACAGCGTTTGACTTTGGATGGGGATGAAAATAAGGGGGCGTTGAGCTAAAGACACGATGGTTACAGTGTCGGATGTGGGGACAGTGTGTTTCTCCGCCTCTGTCTATATGAGTGGCCATGTAACGTAGTATACAGGGAATTGTGAGTTAAAGGCACCTTCCGTCTGTCATCCCAGTTGTTGGGCGATCTAGGGACATCTAGTGGTGATAGGCAACATTTCAGCCATCTGTTTTTGTGTTCAGCTTTTATTCTGTGCTCCTCTCTGATCTGAGACGGAGTGAGAGATTAGCCGAGAGTCACAACAAAGTCAAATCAGTTGAGAGTAGATGAACTGTCACTCTTTCATTGCTTGTGTCAGCGTGACAGTCGATCCATGCCGCATCTCAGAAGTTGGAACTATTTGACTTTTTTCATCTAATGCTCTGCAGCAAAGACAGCGCGGCCACATCTCCACTGTCCCCCTGCTGCACGTCACATTCTTCCAGCTCTCCTGAGCGATGTGTCAGGATTTGGCTCATACACTTTCAATATGTTATGCTGAACTCCGTTAACAAAGCGGTTTGTCTCAGAGAGAGAGAGAGACCTGGACACACACACACACACACACACACACACACACACACACACACACACATGCATAGGCTATACTGTGTATGTATAAATCTTAATGTTGTGTTAATGTTTATATTGCTGTTATTCTATACTGTCCAAATATTTGGACTAATTGTATGTTGATACTTTGGCAACATTGTTCTTGAAACGTCCATGCCATTAAATTGAATTGAATTGAGAGTCAGAAGCAGAATGGATGGAAAGCGTTTCGGAGTCTTTTGGTGGTGCACTGCACAAGGCCAGGATTGAAACTCCATCCCTGTCTAAATATTATCTCAGGCAGCAGCCTCACGCCGCAGCCAGGGGAGAGAGGAGAGAGAGAGGAGAGCCATTGATTCCAGACGTCCTCCCTCTTTACCATCCCATCCCTCGCCTTCTCTTTGTCTGTCCGTTCCTCCTCAAAGATCTGAAGTCTGACGTTCCTCATGCAGCGCTCTACATCGCTGACCACTGGAATTCAAACGTACACACAATGCACAGGAGGGACGGGCAATCACGGTCCCTCCTGTGCATTGTGTGTACGGTTTCCTGTTCTTTTTTTAATCACCATACAGTTTAAAATAGCTTAAATTATTTATGTGTAGAACATTTTTGCCTCTATACATTATTAGAGCTCTTTTATTGTCTTCTCAAATTAAAGGACTGACAATTTTGGAAATTTGAACAGAAATGACAAACCTAGAGCTGGCACTGCCTCTGTCTTTTACAGGGACATGAATGTGAACAGTTATTTGGTTGTGTTACTCTCTCCCTCGCTCTCTGTGCATGTGTGAGTTCGGGGGTGAGGTCATGTGTTATGGTGTGTATGCGAGTAAGGTTGTTTGTAATTTTTCTCCTTGTCACTGGTCTCTGCCAGCTTATTCATGGAAAAGACATTTGGCTTCATGTGCAGTGGCGGGCTGAGGCCTTACAGATCTGTTAAAAGCAACTGTGTGTGTGTGTGTGTGCGTGTGCGTGTGCGTGTGCGCGTGTGCACCCGCCCGCCCACCCGCCCCGGTTAAATTAGAGGTTTTAAAGGTTCGTGGCTCCAGTATCTATCAGGACGCTTAATGACAGGTGCAAAGAATCTATTTGAAAGCCAGCTGTAATTATTATTATGGGGTTGGAGGAATGACAATTAGGTCTGGCCTGCCCTCAGGCCAGCAGTGTAATATGCAGACAATTTGCATATTCAGTAATTATAATACAATATGGATTTGCATATTTAATAACTGATTCAGATAGCAAGCTCATGAAAAACGCAAACCATAGACTCTCATGAGACACAAAATCATGTTTGTCTTCTCTCTGTGTGTGTGTGTGTGTGTGTGTGTGTCTGTCTCGACAGTGTCCATTGGAAGACGTGTGCAAGATCCACTGGCTGAGCTTGTGAAGATTGATCCTAAACACATAGGCATTGGGACATACCAGGTAAGTGTGTTTTGGGTTTTTTGCTGTTGAGATGCTCCTCGTGGGTGAGAGCGTCCTGACCCCGAGCAGTAGAGCATCTGCTGTGAGTTAGACTGAAGCAAAGGGCAGTTTGTGTGTGTGTGTGTGTGTGTGTGTGTGTGTGTGTGTGTGTGT